TTAGCGCCGTGGCCGGAACAAGTTGGGTATAAATAGCGCTTCTGTCTCCTTGAGGCCGCGAGCGCTGCTGTTGGCCTCCTGAATGGAAACCAGAGCTCATGCCAGAGCTTTGATCTCGCCGTGACCGCCCTTGTTTTCGATGTGATCTGAGCCAGCGCCCACCTGTGAGGGGAGGCTGCCCGAGAGGCCACTAGCAGGCACTTAGCTGTTCTCACAACTCCTGACATTATAGGCCAACCCCAGGCTGCCACGGCTCTTGCCCTGGCCCACAGCCTGTCCCTTGCAGGAGTCGGAGGGAGGTAGATGCAAGTTAAAACAGGGCACAAGACCCCAGGGGCACAGCCCCCCGTGAGCATCATCCCCTCACCCAGCGCATCTGTGGTGTCCAGGTGATCCACACTTGTTCAACACCCACGTGTCATCTGCAATGCTAGGTGTCACCTTTGTGTCACCTGTGGGTAACAGAGGGTTAGACAGACCTCCTCACCCAGGACTGCCGCACGGAAGAGCCCCTCACCTACTGCCCCCGTCTCAGGTGAGCACTCCACAGGCCAGGTACCGCTGTTAGTGTGCATGCTCGGTACTTAGCACGTGGCCTGCGGCATCTTCAACCTCACGACTGCACTCTCAGCTCGTCCCTGTTCTTACAGCTAGAAAGTGCTCCGGGGGCCACTGACCGACCCGAGTGACACAGACGTGGGTGCATGTCCAGGTGTCCGTGTCTCCGCAGCCCCGAGCGCTGGACATGAGGGGGGGTAAGCAGACTTGGGGCCCCTCCCTGAGCTTGGCACACACCCTTCGATGGTTTGCAAGGGAAATGTGAGCGTTTCCTGTTCTTGTTTGCTTTTCTCATTTAATTTAGGGAATAGGAGGTTTAATTCAGAATCGATGAAATGTGTAATTAGATGTAATAGTCCTTTTTTACTAATGGCAACTGATTTAGTATGATTGAGGCATTTTGTTAACAAAATGGGGCACTTCCCTCCTTAGCCAATCAGCTCTGCACTGAGCAGCTCCCTCTGGGAGGAGAAGGCTCCAGCCACATGCACGCCTGCTGGTGCCTCTTAGCTCAGCCAGTGTTTCTACAGCACCTATTGTGTGCCAGGCCATGTGCCGGCCGCTGGGCAGGGGAGGACAGATCGTCTCTCTCCGCCCACTGGGGAGGCCTGTGCCTGCGATGCTGGGTTTTTTGATGAGCTTGATCGGAGACACTGGGAGCACAGGGGGTAGGAGGGGCGCTTAGCCGGGAAGGTGGGGCTGAGACCTGGGCTAGACCAACGGGTGCTGAGTGTTCCCGTCTCGATGAGCAAGACGTGGGGGTGATGCTGGCAGTGGGAGCGGGGGAGACCCCGGTGGGGTCCGGATCCCAGAGGCTGGTGCCCTGGCGCGCAGTCAGGGTGCGGGGAGCCGCTTTGGCCCCTCCCTTGGTGGTGTGAGTGCAGGCTGGTGTGTCCTGCTGGCTTGTTGACGGTGCAGTCATGCCAAGAGCTGCATTGGAATAGCTGGTCTTTGAAATAACGAGGACTGATGTGGGTACCTCGGGGAGAAGGCCAAGGTCTGGGCGTTGAGGAGCGCCCACTTCTCCCCACCCCTCCCACTCAGGTTCAGGTCTCCAGGATCTTTCTGGGCTCTGCTCACCAGGCCCTGCCAGACTCCTTGAATTCAGCACCTCGGTCAGCGCCGCCCTTCCTCACCTTCACTCCAGCTGCCAGTGGTGCCATTCCCTGCTTAGACCTCCCCTGGCTGCCAGCTGTGCCCCGTCCAGACCTCTGGGCCCCACCATGTCCCCATCCCGGCCTCCTCCTGGCCCTCCTGCTCGCAGCCTGCTGCCTTGCAGCTCCCCCGGCACAGGTGGCCGGCAATGCAGGCACGTGGTCAGCGCTGGCCTAGTTCAGGCCGGGCTCGGACACTTCCTGCCGCTCCCCTCCCTCCTCGCCTCGCATCCCGCTGACTCTACTCATGGGATCTCTGCCTCCCTGTCTGCAACCCTCATGACGCTGGCAGTTCCTTTGGAGCCTCAGTCCCCCATCTGTAAGCCGGGACTCCCCTGCCCACACTTGGGTTGCACCGGGTGAGGGGAGAAGCCCCGGAGACTTGGCACAGGCCCGGCTCCTCTCGCTGCAGCCCCTGCGGGACGCAAGGGCAGGGAGCTTAGTGCCCGGCCCGAGGAAGGCCGCAAGCACTAGAGATTGTCACTGGGAAGCTTTCATGCCTCCCTGGTACGTAAGCCTCTTGGAAGGAATGTTGGCTTCTGGAAATGGGTTCTAGTTTTTATTTTCTAAAGGCGTCTTCTTTAGTTCTCAACCCGAGTTCTATAAATAGGTCCTGGGGTTTTGTTGACAGAGCCGTTTGTTGAAGGTTGCATGAATGCTACTTTGCACACAGATGATACTCAGGCGATGCCGACGTATAAATCCCTGGAGAAGCCGCGCCTCGGGAACTTGTCTTCCTGCTGGCGGCTCTGGTTTGGATGGGGCCCTGGAACTGAAAACTGGTCCCGTCAGCCCCTCCTCGTGTCCCCCGTCTGGCCTGAGCAACGCCCAGGTCGGCGGCCACAGTCCCGCTCCACCACATCCCGCTCCCGGCAGTGACAAGCCCTTCTGGGATGGCCTCCCCTTGGCCCCCCGCCTGCCCTGCCCCCTCAGCTCCGCCAGCCGGCTTCCCAGCTGCCCCCGAGGTTGCCCGGCAGCACTGGTTGTCCCTTCCTGCACCCCCATAGCACCTTGAGCACCTGTGTCATGGCTCTGACCACCACCTGACAGTCCACCTCTCCGCTCTTCTCCCCAGGAAGGCAGGTGGGCTGGGGTGCAGCGAGGTCCCTGAGCAAGGCCCTGCCCGGCGGGGACTGAGGGGTGCATGGAGTTAGCGTCTGGAGGGTGGAGCTGTGGGGAGGGGCCAGCCAGCGTCCATGCAGGGCCATGAGCATGCCTTAGAGCTTGGCTCTTTGTCTCCTGTGACTGCAGTACAGTACTTTATCTCAGCTCACCCTCTGTGATGGGGGTGGTGACACAGGTCCCCCTGAGTGTAAAATGAGATAGTGCATGCACAGGCGCCTCCTCTGCACCGTCTGGGGTCTCCTCCCGGGTCCCTGCAGCTAGTTCCACACCTGAGGATTCAGCAGAGGCTGCCTTAGCAGCAAGAGGCCACATAGACTCCCGCATGACACACCACACGGACTCCCGCAGGACACGCCACACTGACTCCCACAGGACACGCCACACTGACTCCCACAGGTCATGCCACAAGGACTCCCGTGTAACACGCCACACGGACTCCCGCAGGTCACAGGTCATGCCGACTCCCGTGTAACACGCCACACGGACTCCCGCAGGTCACGCCACACGGACTCCCACAGGTCACGCCTCCTAACTATCCATCACCTCCCAAGGGAAGTTCAATTTACTTCGGAGGGGAGGGTCCCTCTAAATCCGACTCCGTGGTTTGTATTTAAATGTCATCGTTAAGACGTCTGGGGCGAGGTCTTCAGCTGTTTAAAGACTGAATCACACGATGCGGCATTTAAGACCAGCACTCACGCCACACGGACTCCCACAGGTCACGCCTCCTAACTATCCATCACCTCCCAAGGGAAGTTCAATTTACTTCGGAGGGGAGGGTCCCTCTAAATCCGACTCCGTGGTTTGTATTTAAATGTCATCGTTAAGACGTCTGGGGCGAGGTCTTCAGCTGTTTAAAGACTGAATCACACGATGCGGCATTTAAGACCAGCACTTTCTTTAATAGACTCTTTGAACATCTCAGCACCTTTCTTTCGTGCCAACTCTTGACTATTACTGACACATTTGGCCATAAAATGAAACATGAAAATTGGCAGTCAGTCGTCGTATTAATTCTACTTCACTCTGACTCATCAAAGACGAACGGGATCATTAGCGGCAGGGATGGTCTGGGAGGGCTGGGAGCGCAGGCGGGCGGGTCGGAACTGCCGGCCGGGTCTGCGCGCTCTTCGGCGCCTCCTTACCTCCTCAGCACCTGGGTCTCTTCCTCTGCACGTGGGGTCAGTAGTCACCATGGCAGCCACTATTTTGAGTGTTCTTCACGTACTGGGCGCTGTGCCAGCCACTTTGTATCCACTGTCGTCTTTAATCTGCACAAAATCTTACAAATGGGCTTGGTCAGCCAACAGAATGGTGGGTCTTGTAGAGGATGTGACACTGGAGCGTGAACCTGTAGGGTAGAAGTAGCTTAAGACAAGGGGGCAGGCGGGTGTAAGGACTGGCTGTGGGCAGGCGGGTGCAGGGGCTGGCTGTGGGCAGGCGGGTGTAAGGACTGCCTGTGGGGAGGTGGGTGCAGGGGCTGGCTGTGGGCAGGCGGGTGTAAGGACTGCCTGTGGGGAGGTGGGTGCAGGGGCTGGCTGTGGGCAGGCGGGTGTAAGGACTGCCTGTGGGGAGGTGGGTGCAGGGGCTGGCTGTGGGCAGGCGGGTGTAAGGACTGCCTGTGGGGAGGTGGGTGCAGGGGCTGGCTGTGGGCAGGCTGGCTGTGGAGGCGGGGGCAGGGACTGTCTGTGGGGAGGCGGGTGCAGGGGCTGGCTGTGGGCAGGTGGGCGCAGGGAGCCAGTGAGGCATGGTGTGTGTGAGCCAGTCTGTCTGGCCGAGGATGAGGAGTGACAGGGGGCTCTGATGATGCGTTGCAGATCCCAGGGGCTTTGGGCTCCCAGGTTGCATAAAGCCAGTCTCTGAGGTTCTCACAGCGGGCCCTGTCTGTCCCATCCTCTTCCAGATGTACCATTTCTGGGGCCCGAGCCTTCCGCGAGGTGGGAGTGTGTGACCGAGGATTCAGTCCTACAGTGTGTGTTGAACCAGCTCTGAAGCTGGAGCTACCCTGGGGGTCTATTAGTTCATCTCCTCAGAACGCACCATCATGAATTGCGATAATGACCCATGATGTCGTCTCACATTGGCATGTGCTATTCTCCCACGCCAGCGAGGACCTTGACCCCCACCCCCTGACTAATTCTCTGCTGTGTCCCCTTCTCTCAGAATGGCGATTCAGGTGGACAAGTTCAACTTTGAGAGTTTCCCAGAGTCCCCTGGGGAGAAGGGACAATTTGCGAGTCCAAAGCAGCTGGAGGAGCAGAGGCAGGAGGCGCGCGGCCTGGAGATCAACAGCAAGCTGGGCATCCGGTGGCGGATCATATCCTTTCGCGGCCGTGGCTCTCGATGCCCCTTCTCGGGCTTTCTGACCATGGAGGGGACCCATGAGGGGTTAGCTATTGCATTTTTAAAAAATATACTTTTACTGATTTCAGAGAGGAAGGGAGAGAGAGATAGAAACATCAGTGATGAGAGAGAATCATGGATCAGCTGCCTCTTGCATGCCCCACACTGGGGATCAAGCCTGCAACCTGGGCATGTGCCCTGACCAGGAATCGAACCCGCAACCTCTAGGTGCATGGGATGACACTCAACCACTGAGTCACACTGGCCGGGCAGCTATTGCATTTTGCCACAAGTAGCTCAGAAATGCCATGGCTGGGAGAGAGGGCTGGAGAGAGGGCATTTTTCTCTGCCTCTCACCACCTGCAAGGCCCCCGAAGGAAGCACCGATTCAGGGCAAGGCAAGGTCTTGGGCTGGAGGTGCTGGCCTTGGATCCCAGAGTTCTTGCCAGGGTGGATACTCGTGTTAGTGACAGGTCCTGCCTGCACACCCTTACCTGGTACACCCCCTGCCCTGAGGTGCTCCCTTCATCTCACCTGGCCCCACGCTCGCCTCTCCAGGTCCTCAGCCCACAAGCCCCACAGCAAGGCGCCCTGCAACTCCCCTGGCAGCTCAGCACACTGCCTGGCACTCCCCGTCCACTGGTCTCTGACACCAGGGCGCTGAGCCGAGCCCCTGGCAGCCCTGCTGTGGTGAGAATGCTAGCAGAGTTTCCGGTGCAGACTGGAGACAGTCAGGGGAAGAGGCTCACTGATTACCTAAGCACCTTTCCATCAGCGTAACTTCTATTTATGACGACTTGCTCATTTATTTGGGCTAAAGTGGGGCTGGGCAGAGCCCCTGCACTGGTGGTTCCTGCAGAGCTGGTGCATGGGCGCCGACGGCCGCTGTCCTGGGGGATGTCGAGGAGCGGCCCCCAGCCCAGCACCCCCTCCAGGACGCTCACTAGGAGCACCCGTGAAGGGTTTTCCGCTGGGCTCACAGCCATGTGTCTTGGCCGGCGCTGAGAGCAGGGCGCTGCTTCCCCCGGGCGAGGCGAGGTGGGCTCAGGAGAGTCCGGCCCCCCGCCGGGCAGCACAGGCCCCAGCGGAAGGACTGATGGAACCATCATTTTCTCTAAAGTACCCGACGGGGTCCTGGTGAACTTCAGTCACATAAGCAGATGGGATCTCAAATGCTGCTCAGTGGCTTCAAATGGCCCTTTGATTACAGCACATCCCCCAATATTTCACCGCTGATGGCCGAGCAGACAATGGGAGCGAAGGTGTTTGAACCTTCTACGTTTTCCCTGCATCTCGCTATGTGTTTCAAAGATTCGGAGCGAGCATTCACAATTCCCAAGGCAAGTAGGTTAACTGAGACGTGTGCGTGCAAATGTTTGTGAACAGAAGGCCCTGCACAAACACTGATGAACAATTAAATGTAATTATAGTGATGGATGGCCAGTGAGATAAGATCTATCAAGTAGACTGGGCTCCTTAAAGCAGGAGGGACCTCATCTTGGTGGGTTTTTCATCCTCAGCACCCCCACAGCGCACGGACTGGGTGTCGGTAAACACCCTGTGTGGATTCGGGCCCTGCAGGGGAGGCACGTGGGGGCGCATGCACACCTGAGCAGGAGTGTAGGGAGGAGGGAGGGCTGGGGGTGCATCAGAGAGGGCGTCCCAGATAAGGTGGAGGTGAGCTCCAGAGATGGTGGGCGGTCACCAGAAAGGCCAGGCTGAAGGGGGCTCCAGGCAGGGGGCACTGGCGGCAGGCACCAGAGTGGGAAGCAGTGCTGGGTGCTGGGTGTCCTGGCTCACTCCCCCGAGGGTTTGTGACAGGCAGGAGGTGTGACGACCCGTAGTGACCCCTGGTAACTGAGCCATGCCTTTGCGGCAGGGAGTGGTGAGGCCCCAGCCTGGTTCCTGTCAGTCAGACGCTGCCTGAACTGGGAACTCGCTCTGGTTCAGTAGCACAGGGCTGTCGATCGTTACACACGGGTGTGGCTTCGAGGCTTGCAAAGCCTGGGTCACATGACAGTGATGGCACAGTCCCCCTGTCCCAGGGTCACCTTCCCTGCCCTCCGAAGGGACAGGAGCAGGTCGGGGGGACAAGGACCTGTGACTTAGTTGGAGACTTAATTGCTGCGTCCCAGATCCCCGACCAGAAAGGGCTTAAGGCAGCGGTTCTCAACCTGTGGGTTCATCCTTTGGGGGTCGAACGACCCTTTCACAGGGGTCGCCTAAGGCCATCGGAAAATGCATATATAATTACATATTGTTTTTGTGATTAATCACTATGCTTTAATTATGTTCAATTTGTAACAATGAAATTGGGGGTCATCACAACATGAGGAACTGTATTAAAGGGTCGCGGCATTAGGAAGGTTGAGAACCACTGGCTTAAGGGGAGGCAGGCTCTTCAGCACCACGGAGAGTCCCCAAGGGCTGTCCTGGGAGCTGGAGGAGAGGTGGGCCCAGCGCCTGGGGGCCCTGTGTGTGGGGGGTCCCCACCTTTCCTGGCGTCCAGGTTTCCTGTGTCTGCAGGTGGGGCTCCAGGGTCAGACTGCCCTGATCCCCCCACTTCCTTGCGGTGCCAGCTTCCTTAGTCTCTGCAAGGTCCTGAATTAAAAACTCTTTAAAATGGAAATGGCATCCCTACCTTCCACTTTCTATGTTCTCAAGTCTAAGGTGAAAATAGTACTAAGTGGAGCAGATGTGTGTTAAACGCGTCCTGCACGCACGGCCTCCCGTGGGGACCCTGCAGAGACGTCCTGCTGGTAGGAATGATGGTAGGGATCATCGCCATTATCACCGTTCTTGATCTCTGGCCCCAAGTGCCAGGGTCTGTGTATGTGAGGAGGAGGAGCGGCGCAGGCGCTGGGACTGTCGCCTTGGCTGCAGCGGCGGCAGAGGAAGCAGCAGGACCCGACGGCGTGGCTGAGGCCCAGACACAACACTGCTTGGGTGGCTCCTGGGGCCGAAAAGGGGTGTGGAGGCAGGTAATTAGCTTTATTAGCTCAGCTGTAGAATTCCATGGCTCCCGGCCGAAAGCAAATTAATACAGAAGTGTGCTCCGGGCCGGTGCCCAAGGCCCCAGAGCCACTGGCAGCTTTGCAGTGGCTCCCACTCTGACTCGCTCCTCCAGCGAATCACTGCCAAGCTCCTCAGTGGGGCGCGGCTCGCGGGCACCACTTCTGTTCTGCAGGCCCCGTGCTCAACCCGCCTCGAAAGCCTGGTGCGATTTCTGTAGTGAGGAGGTAAGGTGCCACGTCGCGGAGCCTTAAACAAAGATGTGGACAGGCGACTGTCCCCCCTCCCCCCCCAGTGGTACAGGACAAGGCGGGCTGCTGCGGGGTGCAGGGCGGGGCCGGCGCGGTCTCTCCCCGGGGAGGGTCCTTGAGGACAGTGTGGCTGTTTCTCCGGAGTCCCCGCAGGCCGGTGGGAACTGAACACCCTCCCCTGTCAGTCAGCCACTGGCTGTGGGCTGCGTGGAGGCGGAGGGGGCTTTGTGGGCCCCCCTGGCAGTGGTGGAAAGAGCTGCGTGGAGCCCTGGAGCCCCTGGTCCTGCCCTGTCCATGGTGTCGCCTGTGCCTGTCCCGCCTTAGGCCAGGGCAGGGGCTGTGCAGGTCATCTCTGAGGTCACAGACGCCCAGACGCTAGTGCCCGACAGGCTTCCCGCTGGGCTGGCTCCTTGTAAGGAACAGAGGCTTTGGCTTTTCAAAGACAGCAGAGCCAAGGGCCCTGTGTCCCCACAGACGCTTGTCCCCCTGCGGGGCCTCCGCCATGGTGACCCCCTCGACTGAGACGGGTGTCCTCGCTGAGAGGTGGCCTGAGAAGGGGAGGGACACAGCCACAGATGGAGCTGGCTGATGACACGAGTCCCCTGCAGGCCTGCGAGCTGCGGTGGCTGGGACCAGTCTTAGTGCTGCATCCCAGCCACCTCCGAGAGTGTCCCAGGCTCTGAGATGAGTCACAGTGCAGAGCCAAGTAATATCAGCTCGGTACACAGCCCCGTGTGTAATGAGGTAGAGAGCATTTCATCTGGAAAGCTCTTCTTAGGGAGAGAGTTATCTTTGGGAGAAACACGGATAGATTGCTGTGGCATCTGAGGCCACAGAAATGATGGCCGTGTTCCTGAGAGTAGGGGAGACGGGGAGGAGGAGAGAATGAGAGTGGGGTTAGCACTCCCCACGGGGTGATGCTCACCCACGCTGCCTGTGGGTTGCACTCACTCCCCAGGAGCCTGAGAAGGTGTGCTACTCTTGAGCCCATTTTACAGATGAAACTGAGACCCACCCCCGCTCACCAGTGGTGGTGCCAGGATTCAGTCTCCACACCCCCTGCTTAGCTACCAAGTGGCACAAAGAGGAGGGAGAGCAGAGCCCATTAGGGGCTTCATTTCCTCAGGGCCCCCACACCGCCCGGTTCTCAGCCTCAGCCCTGTCCCAGTCTACCTGCCAATACTCGCTCCATGACGAGCTCACACCAGAGAGCCCATCTGTCACACTCGTGTAATTACACCACGAGGCAGAGCTCACACAGGAAGCCAGCGGGAATGCACACGTGTCAGAAACGCACCTGGTGGTATTTATTGAGGAAGACACTGCATTTCTGCGTCCCCAGCAAGGACAGCTGGGGGTCACAGGGGCCGCCCTGGGCTTCCTCACCGGCTGTGGCTTCCTTCCCGGGGTCTGCGGTCGGAGGAGGGGCCTGTGTCCCGCACACTCAGGGGACTCGGGTGGTTGGAGGAGGGCATGTCTGCATATCTGCAGGTGATTTCCTGTCTGGAGTCTATCCAGAGACTTCTAGCGCTGCCCCTCCCGTCCCGGGGCCCAGCAGGAGCGCGTTTTCCTTGACCGAAGCTCACCCCTCGCTGAAGCGCACGGGCGAGGCCAGCGTGGAGGGCGTCCTGAACCAGCTGGCCCTGGAGCACCTGCAGCTGGCCCCCCTGCAGTGGGGTGAGTACACCCCGCCCACCCTCACCCTCGTCCGCTGCGGGGCTGCCCTCAGCTGAGGTCACCATGGGAACCTGGGGGTGTGGGGGGACTCACCACACCACCAGGCTGGGGCCTGTGTTTCACCTGAGTGTCCTCGCAGCCAGACCTGTGACCAAACCCAGGTATGAGGTGTGCTCGGTGCCTCTCGGTTCCCGGTGCTGCAGAGTCCCCGCCCTCCTCGCGGCACCTGTCCGATGGGCGTGTCTGCTGTGGTGGGGGTGGACTCTAAGCGACCGGGGAGGTGGGGGAGCAGGAGTGTCACCTCCTGCCCTCCGTCCCCTCCCGAGGAGCTGGCAGCTTTCCACAGGGTCAGCGGGGA